AAAATAAATTAAAATTTAATATTAAAATATGTCATTTTATTTAATTAAAATTTAAAAAATTTATCTTATTAAATATTGATATTTAAATTTAAAAACAGATTACATTAAAATATATAATTGATTTATAAATTTAGATATTAATATTTAATAAGATGAATTTTAAAATTTTGAATTAAGATTTTGATATTTAAATGTATTCATACTAAATTCTATTAATTAAACGAAAAAATAAAACTAAAAAACTGTATCATCGTCTTCTCCCTCGTTGGTACTGTCGTCCGAAAAGCCAGGTAAGTCTTGTTATGAAATTTGATCAACCGCACGAATTTGATCACAAAAAATGCAAGCAACTAAGATTTTTAATGAATCTCAATCTCCATAGTTCTAGTTAGAAACACAATTTGCAGTCCCCGTAACACGTCCAAATTTGAGTCAATTTTATTTGCCGACTCCAACATACTGGAAAATCCCATGCCTTGATTCAAAGGAAAATCATTGTTGTATCGTATGCCTTTAGAAAATCCTAATCACAAAATCCATATTATTGCTCCATCTGATCTCCAATTTATAATCAAATTATAGCACATGAAGTACACCCAAAAACACAATTCTAAACCATAACACCCACGCTACGTTGAGACGTACATTATTAAGATTAGAAAATTAGTTATTTGATAACACAAAAATTTAAATAATTTTTTTATCTCTTTTTATCACTTAATTGTATCTGTTTTACAGAGCAATTTTTTGCTCATTCACGAAATTGCTTCATGAATGAGATGAAGTGCTTTTTCTCCCACAAGGCTTGCGCCACTGGCACTATATTTCAATACTTTTAGTCCCTTAACTTTTTCCGTTTTATATTACATTGGTCTCTTAAACGTTGACATGACTATGTTTAAATTCTTATTATCTATTTTTTTTATGTCCTATGGAAGGACCTGAAATCACTTATGTTTTTAAACACTGATAGATCATGCATTCCATCTTATAAAATGAATCATAAGTAAGATAGTCTGTAAAGAAGGTAGTATATGAATAATTTTTTATTCTTTATTTTCGAGTAAATTTGCGTAAGAGATGAAGTTATAAATTTGTCTGCCTTTCAAGCTCTTTCAACATGGGATGAAATTAACAAGGAAAACTACAATAGCATTCCTCAGATTTAATACATGTCCCCACAGCAGTATCCCCGTATACATTATAACAGTTACCAGCACACAGTTCTTCAGTACAGTAGTCAGGTGAAAAATCTGAACCAAGTAGCCTCTTTTCACAGGTGTCTTCACTCATCACCACTGGTCCATTTCCTAAAACCATAATTCATATTATTTTGTTAGTTTGTAACTAATCATCGAGTTAATTACTTAAAAAACATCAAAATAATTTTTTAAAAAAATTGAGAATTTACCGCAAACGGCCCAAAGAACAATAACAAGAAGAACAAAGGTTGAGAAATTCCTCATTTTAGCTTACGTTGTTCTCCCTAGTATATTCGGGCATGAAGAATTTGAAGTGGATTTTATTGACTTATCTTGCATTGGACTATCAATATATATATTTACAACCTCTAATCCATACAAGGATATTGTCCTTACAAGCCAAATTATTAATGGTGGGTTATTTTAATAACTATATTAAATTAAAATGTGGTTTAATACATTGCAACCATTCGCAATCAAAACTTAAAATGTGGTTTAATATATTGGAGTATATAGAAATAATTACCATTTCGGCTCATCATCTGCAATCAAAATTTAAAATGTGGCTTAGGGCTTATTTAGTACAACGGTTAAAATTCAACGGATAACAGAGAGCGGGTAGCGGATAGTGAATAGCGGTAGTGGGTAGCAAGTGGTAGTTAGCAGATGACGGATGGCGGATGGCGGATAGCGAAAAGTGAGTAACGGATGGTAAATAACGGATTCGATAAATAGAACTGTTTGTCTATTGTTTCCCCAAAAATTCTTTAGTGGCCTCGCACGTATGAAATCTGGATGCGAGCGTGCCACTTACCTTGCTGAAAGTAAGAAAAGAGGACTTTCCCAACGACCCTCTCCTTCCTCATGGTCGACCTCTTTGCAGATGGCGGGAAGAACGTTGGATTAAAATGAAATTTGCGCCTTCAGATGATTTGCAAGAGGGAGGGATACCTTTCTGCAAATTGGGTTACGAAATCTGCCTTGGACAACTCCAAGGACTTCAACACTATCGTAACTTAAAATTAACAAATCCTAATTGAACTAAATAACCTTCAATTTAAAGTAAATTTGCGAGAAAAAGCTATACCTAAATTAAACTAAACATGTTCATTGTTAAATTAAAATGCTATCCATTGGCAAATCTGAAAATTAAAATGCTGCAGAATTAAAGACTTTAGCCTAATTAACATTAAAATTAAACGTGAACAGTGAATAAATTGAAGAGCTTGAGGTTGAAAAGAGGTATGAACACCACATAAGTAATCATTGAATAAAATGCTACTTATCATAAACATTTAATTAATTGCAAATGAAAAAAGAACAATACCTTGTATAAACTTGAAAGATTGAAGTTCATTGCATGAAAGGAAATTGTTAAATTGAATACATGAATTAATTTGGCTACTGGAATAATGAAAAACAACCTAATTCTAATGGAATCTGTGCTGAAATTTGAAATCTAGAAACAGATTGCAGAGAAAATAAAGTTTGAAAATTTGCAGATGTTTGAGTAGGGCTGGCCGTCCGTTCTCCCTTCCAAAATTTCCTTTTTGTTCTCCTTTGGCAAGCAGTAACCTCCCACTTTCTACAATTACAATCATGGGTGGTTTCTTGAAGTAGTGGGACAACTTATCCTTTGACCTGGTCTAATCTCCTTGTAGATTTCGCCACCTGTACTCTTATAAGATAAAACCCCCTTTTTAACTGCAATCTTCTCCTCTTTTTTAGCTCCCATTATCCCTTTCTGTCTCAAGAAGATAATTACTCCATAAAAAATTATCTTTACCTCTCCTCTTTTGCCAACACAAGTGCTAATTTGTCATGGGGCTCAAAATCCAAATCTGACATGGCTCAATCTCCTCCAACCAATAAAAAATATTTTACATGTGGCATTAATTTAAAATTTTGCAATTTATGGTGTAAACAGCTATATAATAGTTAGCGGTTGTTATTTAATAGAATATGACTAATAAGGACATGTTTAAAAATAAATAAGTATATTTTTTAAATATTATTATTTATTATTATTAAAATTATTAATTTTA